TTTTTTCCCCTTGAGCCAATAGGCCAATATTACTAGAGTTACAGAAGAAGTCTGGTGAGCTCATTCTTCCAAACTGGTGGACAACTCTTGGCCTTCTGTTCTCCCATATGCATGCAGCCAACTCCATAATCCACATACAGAACAATCCCATCACCTCCAAAGAATTCCCTTATGCTAGTTCTCTGTAGTCTCCCCTTTCCTGCTATTAACACCTGGCAACCAGTGATCTGTTCTCTATCACTGTAGTTTTATCTTTTTGAGAATGTTCTATCCAGAGAATCATACAGTATGTGACCTTTCCAAGTTACCTTCTTTCACTCAGCATGATGCCTTTGAAATCCATCCCAGTTACTGAATGTAACAGTAGTTCATTCTTCTTGTTCTTTTTTTTTAAATGTATTTTTTTTTTGAGAGAGAGAGAGAGAGAAAGAATAATAAGAATAATAAGAGAAATTTCTTTTATTCTTTTGTTTGGAACATCTTCTCCTGATTTTTCATTTTCCTCAGCTCTCTGTTGATGTCTGTGTATTAGACAAAGAAGAAACCTCTCACAGTCTTCATGGACAAGCCTCATATGGGAGAAGACCCTCACCAATGAGCCCAGCTAGAGATTCAGGGTCACTACTAACTCTTTCTGTCCCTTAACAGAAGCTGGCAGCTGTGGATTTTGTCTGTTTGCTCTGAGAATAGGGGAGGATCAATGGCATTTTCCCGCTCACACTTCTACCTCCCTTCTCCCCTTGGTGGCTTAACTATGTCAAACTCATGCATAGCTCCAAGCCTCAAGATGTGAAGGCAGAAGCCAATCCTCTGGGGAGCTCTTTTGGAAAAGTTGGGTACTGACTATGTAAACCAACCCTTTCCTTCTCCTAGGTGAAGCTGAGAGATAGGGGGTTCTTTTCCTAATTATATGGTGTTGCATTAGGAACAGGGTCTCTGGGAAGTAGGTGTAGCAAATCTCTCTGCTGGCTTCAATGTTTTCCCAGGGTGAAGAAGTCTTTTATTTAATTTCCGATTTCCTGTTTCTTCTAATAATTGTGGTTTTGTTATATTCCTTTCCAATTTTTATTTCTATTTTTCTTACATGAGCACATTTTTTCTAAGCTTTGTTTGGTAATGTTGAATGGAGCAGTAGTGAGACTGACTTGAATGGAATGTTTCCAACATTTCAAAAATAAGAATGATGTTTACTTTGGAGTTTTAAAAGATTTTTTTTTCAGGCTAAAGTAGTTCTTATTTTATAAAACTTTTATCAAGATTAATTGTCCATTCACAGGAAGATAATCTGTTGGTTATCCTATTTTTCTCCCATAGTCTATTAATGAGATATTTTACATTTGTAGATTTTTTTTATATTGAGTATCCCTGATACCCTGAGAAAGAAAAATACTACTTGGCAGTAATTTTTTTTTTCTTTTCTTGTGGTACTAAGGATTGAACCCAGGGTCTAATGCATGTTAGGCAACTTCTATACCATGGAGCTACATCCCCAGTTATTGGCAGTGATTTTTAAATACATTCCTGGGTTTCATATTTTTGTATCTAATTTTATCACTGAGACTGTTATATAATGTTCTCTTATTGGACCCTTTTTGTTCAAGTTCAGGTACCCAGGATATTAACATGTTAATTATTATTATTTTTCCAATGCATGTATGTTACACACTCTTTTTATAAAGAAGAAAGTATAGCTTTCCAACCCTGCTGATATAGTAAGTTTTATTATTATCATTATTAGTTTTATTTGCAATAATGATGATTGATGCAAGGATACATTTTGATGCTGATTCCTAGGAATTGAGAATTTTGTCACTCTAATGCTGATGTCTTTATAGAAAGCAACTTCATGCCTGACTGCTTATTTCTAAAGAACTTAATGTACCTTAGGGCTGGGGTTGTAGCTCAGTGGAAGAGTGCATGCCTAGCTTGTGTGAGGCACTGGGTACTATTCTCAGCACCGCACACAAATAAATAAAATAAAAGTCCATCAACAACTAAAAGCTATTTTAAAAATATTGAAAAAACAAAGAATTTAAGGTGGCTTAGAGAACAATGATCATAGGATATGGGGTAAAATGGAATAGAGAAATCTTTCAAAGTAATTTGCAGATTATGGATGCAGTTGTCCCAACATAGAATCTTTCATGAGAAAATCGCTTAAAGCACATGCTGTTGATGACACTGATAATGCTGAAGAAAATCTTTGTGCTATTAAAAGATTTCCAGGACCCAGACCCTTTCTTGATGCAACCAAATTCCAGTGTCATTGAAATTCCTGTGTATTTCAGGGCAATGGGCTTTTCTGGCATAGCTGTTCTTTGTACGTAATGATAAGTGTGTCTTCATCTTTGTTCACTAGGGATGGAACCTATAGAGGTGCCTCTTGAGGAAGACAGTGAACAGGCTCAGATTTGCCAGAGCAAGGTCTGTGCTGACAGGTGAGACTCTGAAGCAGGTAAAATCCTGGCTGTGTTGGCAGAGTGGCACAGAGCGGGACGAGGGCATTGCCCTGAGGAGCCCCTTGTTGGCCACACCCTCCATCCACTCTGCTGCATGCTGCACCCTGATCACATGGGCTCCATGGTATTCTTTTTTAAAAAATATTTATTTTTTAGGTGTAGATGGATACAACACAATGCCTTTTATTTTTATATGGTGCTGAGGATTGAACCCAGGTCCCACCCGTGCTAGGCGAATCCCAGCCCCTCCATGGTATTCTTCACACCTACCAATCATGCTCCTTTATCAAGTCTTTGTGCTCGCTGTCCCTTCTGTTTGGAATGTTCTTCCACTGCTTAGAACTCTACAGGGCTCATTCTCTCCCTCCCTCAGGGCTCTGCTCCAAAGTCTCCTTCTCAGATGAACACCTGACCACCCACAGAAGTTGGCTCCACCTCTCCATTTGCCCTGCTGTATTTGTGTCCTTCTCATTTATTGTTTCCCACATATTTTGTGTGTTTATTTGTTTTGAGTTTCTCCCACTAGAATGCCTGTGTTCTCCCTGCAGAGCGTGGATCACTGCTAGGTAGAGGGCCTGAATGGTTTGGAGGCTACTGCAATAGTCCAGAACAATCCGATGGGGAGGGAAGCAGCTTGGCTCACATTTTGCAAAGACTGACTGGTGGGTGGAGAATAGGTAGAAGAGAGAGAGAGGTGTAGGCAGGAAGGCCAGCTGAGCACGTATGCTAGCAACACAGGTAAGATGAGGGGGAGGACGAGGGTCAGAGAGAAAATCAGGTAGGCATCAGAGGTATTCTACAAACAGAAGCACCATAACCTGGACTAGCTGATGGGTTGGGTGAGAAGTCTGAGGGCAAAGGGGGTGTCAGGATGTCCCCAGGATTCTAAAGTAGAGTGTTCAGGTGGTGACTCATATATATACCATATAATTGTGAAGTATTACTTAATCTGGGTTGTTGATGATAAATCATCTGCTAAAGTCTAGGAAATGTAGAGTGGGATTCAATGGGACAGCACTTCTTTTTTATTTCTTTTCTTAAAAAATTTGTTTTTTAGTTGTAGATGGACACAATACCTTTCATTTTATTTTTATGTGGTGCTGAGGATCAAACTTAGTGCCTCACACATGCTAGGCAAGCGCTCTACCACTGAGCCACACCCCCAGCCCTCTTTTTTGTTTCTTGATGGTACATGTTTGTTTATAAATCTCTTTACTGAGTACATCAAATGTCTGCACCCCTTGTGATCTTAATTGAAAATGTGAAATAGCTTTCCAATCTTATGGAAAACCTATGCCATCTAATACCAACCAATTCTACGCCTGCCCCCACAATAACAGCTGACTATGTAACAGTTCAGTAAATAATGAAAAGTTTTCAAATGTTAATTATCTAGTAGCTAGCACAAGGAACTTGATAGTGGGCGGGTCTAGTAGGTGGTGATACTGCATGGATATCAAACCAGATTACATTTCTATCTGCACTGCCGTGAACATACACAATCATACAAATCATGATGTAATATGTTAAATACTAAAGTTACATTCAAATAAGATTCAAGTCATTGGTGCTCCTGGGTGAGGGACTCTGAGGGGCCACACCCCCAGGAAAAGTGCTTGAGGGAGCTTGTGAGATGACTGTCAGTACAGTTTAGCATCTTGGGCCCAGTCTCCACCCTGGAGGCTGAGGAGTGGAGCAGCTCTGCCTTTTCTTCCTGGCACTTTGCACCAACTTAACTATTTTGGCCAATGTAGACATTCATTCTAGTGCATTTTCAGTTAGGGCAATGATTTTTGGGCAAAGATTTTTTTTTTTTTTTTTTACATGTTGCTACACCAAATCTTCTGATAGAAATCTAGCCATCTAAGAACATGCTCAGTTATTTATCAGGCTCATTCCTGATTGTACATTTCGCTTGGCTGCATTGTGAGGAATGCAGTGTTTTGGTTAATAAAGCTTTTTGGATAACTAAAGGTTAGATGTATTTACCTTTGGAACATTGGTACTCAAATAAGGAACATGGACTTGGGTTTCAAAGCACAGGAGAGAGAGCAGTAAAGAGGTTTCCTGCTCTCTTGCCACCTGATACTTCAGGATGTCTTCTCCTTAGGGGCTTATGCAATATTCTGTTTTTAATCTGACTATATAAAAATTCATCTTTTTTCTTTACTTTTTTTTTTCTTGCCAGAGTAAACACTTACGACTGTGGAGAAAAAGTTGCAAGCTGGTTGTCAAAGTTTTTTGGCCGTCCATGTCACTTGATCAAACAAAGTTCAAGCTTCCAGCGAAATGCAAAGAAGAAACTTGGAAAAGGTATTACATTTTGGATGGATTCTTGGAGAACAGACCCTTTCCTCTGGCTTACTCTGCATGTGTCAAAATCAGCTGATGAGATGGATTTATAGGGCCACTTTCACACATGCAAAAAAGCAGGGGTGGTCCCCCCTTAGCAGAAAGCTGCTGTGGTGACCCCAGATCAGTGGAAGAGAGGATGCCATGATCCCCCAAGGAGGTCAAGGAGGGCTTAGCACCAACTTCCCGATCCCTGCTCAAGCCCTCAGCCTCCGTCCCATATGCTTAGAAGCACAATTCAGTTGTGGCTTGCTGTGTCCTCAGACCAGATCTGGAAACAAAGAAAACTGGGTTTTTAGTTATGTCACCAAAGAGACATGAAACCTTGACAAATCCTAGAACCCCCTGGTGCCTCAGCTTCTGTAAATCTTAACCACCCAACTTTTAAGCATTTTGAAATTTCCCCCACTGTGAGCCATTGTTATAATGAAGTGAAACAGTACAGAAGAAAGTTCTTGCAAAGTTCTCTGGTCCTTGTGTGCAGAAAAGATCCTTTTCAGGTGTCACTCAAATGTCACCTTCTCAGGGAAATCTTGCAGCCCACCCCCTGCAGAACTGCAGTCTGTGCTTGAACCTCCTCAGTGGCCTTCCCTGTTAGATTTTGTAAATGGGCTTTTCTCATTTTGTTCATCCTGTGTGCTTTTCACTATTCTCTGTTCTGTTTTCCTTCTCCTAGAATGCAAACTCTTGTGAGAACAGGGATTGTTGTATGTTCCCTTTGGTGCTGTATCTTGGAGCAGAACCTAGCATGTAATAGTTGCTCAGTAAGTGCCAGATAAATGAATGAATGGATCATAGTTACATTGCCAGTTGATTTAGAGATGAGCTGGCCTAATGACCAGTTCCCAGAGAGACTGGCTTGTAAATATGAACAGCATTTTGACTATTAATGATCAATTACTAGTTCTAGGGGCTTCCTAGGTTAATTTATGAAACCTTTAAAATTTCTGATGTAGAGAGGAGTCAAGGGGTATAATCTATTTAGACTTTTAAAAGTTTTGGAAGGAATTTGACTTGCTGTGTGATGGGGAAGGGACAATTTCATGCTCATTTCATTGACGAGATTAATTGGTAGCATTTGGATGTGGGTAAACTTCAAGACATGATTAAAGGGGAGAAAGAAATGGGCATTTCCATGGGTAGAGAAATGCAGGTGTGGGATTTTTCAGGATCTGTACCTCTTTTATGAATTATCTGGAGGATGAGCAGCAGTGAAATCTCTAATTTCTAATCATTCAAAGCTCCTGCTGCAGAGCTGGGTTTGGCTGGGTCCTGGGAGGCTGGCTGAGAGTATGGGGCCTTGTTCCTGGTCCTGTGAGATGACTTCTCTGTAGACAGCCACACTACAACATAAAGGATGTCACGTCACGAAGGTCCACATGAAGGGCACAGAGGTGTGGGAGAATCCTCTGCACTTAAAATGAACCAGAGGGCTTCAGAGGAGTGTTGAGTTACATTTTAACAGGAAGCAGGGTTTTTCCAGAGGTGGGCAGGTTGCTCTGGAGCAGTGGGAGCAGGTGGTAGAGTTTAGGAGGGTCTGATGTGGGCAGGGGAGTGCAGCAGGAGAGCTGGAGAGAAGGAATGTGTGCCACCGAGAGGTCAGTGCTTTATCTTGTGGCTGCAGGACTCATTAGTGAATTTTTAATGGGGGCATTTTATGACCCCACTTGTGTTAGAAAGATACTTCTGGCTTGGCATGGGGGCAGCATCAGCGCAGGAGACTTGGGAATCAGAGATTCAGTGGGAGTTTGGGGCCTGGGTGAGGCAAAGGTATTGGGTTCAGACACAAGCCTGTCACCTGCACAGCACAGGACCATGGAGAGTCAGCTTGTGACTGTACTTCAAGGAGAGCTGTCTGTGTCTAGGCCTCAGGTCTTTAAACATTTTTTGCATTGGTACATCTTAGGAGACTTTTTAAAAGCTACATTCCCCTCTTGAATATTTTTACATCCTTTAAATTTTTAAAATAGTTTAAATAGTTGCAAAGGATGTGATTTCTAACATTGTAAATATTATCATTTTAAGGTAAAAGTTGTTTGGGGCTTTTTTCAACATAACCAGTGAAATCTTAATACTATAGCAATTTGAATCTCCTGAGTATTCTTTTTTATATGTCTTTTAATGAGCAGAAATTTCTTTTCTTTTATATATTTTTAGTTTTAGGTGGACACAATATCTTTATTTTATTTTTATATGGTATTGAGGATCAAACCCAGTGCCTCGCACATGCCAGGCGGGTGCGCTACCACTTGAGCCACATCCCCAGCCCTATTTTTTTTTTTTTTTTGGTGGGGTTGTGAGTACCAGGGATTGAACTCAGGGACACTTGACCACTGAGCCACATCCCCAGCCCTATTTTGTATTGTATTTAGAGACAGGGTCTCCCTGAGTTGCTTAGTGCCTCGCTTTTGCTGAGGCTGGGTTTGAACTTGTGATCTTCTTGCTTCAGCCTCCTAGGCTGCTGGGATTATAGGTGTGCACCACCGCATCCGGTTCCTTTTCCTTCTTCAACTTTTATTTCCTTCCCACTTCTTCTACAGAATTTTATCTTAGTGTTTTATATTTTATGCTTGAAGTCTTTTATTGATCACCATATCACATTTGTATAAAAATAAAATTAAATTGAAATGTATTAAATTTATTTTGGAGTTTTCTGTGATCATAAAACTCTATGTGTGTTAGGAAACTATTTTTTTTGGGGGGGGTTGAGTTTTTATTAACAGTATCCAGTTGATGAAAGCAATATATGTATATTATATGTTTTGAAAACCACTTATTAATCATAATAAGTAAAAACTGCTGAAAATTAATCCTTTACAGAGCCAGCTGGGTTCCCAGTCACTGGTTCCCACATCTGTGAATGAGTCACTTATGGCCAGACCTGTTTATGCTCAGCATGGCTGTCTTCTGAGAAACCTCATTTCAGTAATAATGAGGGGTTGGGGGGGCAGGAAGGAGGTTTTGGTTACCATACATACTGTCACTCAAACCTTTCTTCTGAACTTCGTGACTGAAGCATAGGGATCTAACATTAAAATGCCTTTAATCATCTGTCACTTGAAAACTTACTTAGGTTCTTTAGTTTTGTGTTTCAGTGAAGAATTAGAGTCCATTGGATTTATCGGGAGGGTCATTTGCCCAAAACTTTGGAGACATTTTCTCAGCCCTGGCTCCAGGGTTTTGAATGGAGCTTTTGTTTGCCATTCTGGAGATTTTCAGCCCCCAGGGCCAGTGTGTCTTAGGAGACCTGTGGCCTTTCCTCTGTGAAGTGGGAGAAGGGCCTTTTGTGGAGGGGCTGGGATTGGACCTCCCTTTTCTGCAGTCTTTTTTTTTTTATCAGTGAGGGTGAATGGAAGTAAAGGAACTGCAAATTTCATGTACTCTGGGATTCACAATCCCAGTTTGGAGATATTCAGGAGGCCCTGACCCAGCCAACCCTTTTTATCAACAGGTAGGGTAAAAATAGTGAGGGCGGGCCCATCAAACAAAGCTGATAGAATGCCAGAGGATTTGAGGTTTCTTTTTAATAGTTTTATTTTCCTTTCAGCAATTAAAAATCTTTCATTATTTGTAAAGTCAATATCTTTTCCCTGATTAGACTCAGAAGTTCTTCCTGGGCCTGCTGCCTTATCAAGTCCTCTGCTTTGTCCTGTCTCAGGGAGAGCTGCACCCACTCCACCCCTCTACCGTCTCTCCTGCTCTAAGAATCGCCTCCAGGTCTTCATTGTTGAAATGCTTTCTTTTATTTTTTTTTTATTTATTTTTTTAATTGTTGGTCCTTCAAAACATTACATGGTTCTTAATATATCATATTTCACAGTTTGATTCAAGTGGGTTATGAACTCCCCCCCCCCCAAAAAAAAGAAATGCTTTCACTTTCGTATTTTATTATTGTTATTTTCTCCATATTATTTTATTTTATTTTTTGTTATCAGGGGTTAAACCCAGGGGTGCTTACCCACTGAGCCATATCCCCAGCCTTTTTAAATTTTTTTTTTTTTTATTTTGAGAGAGTTTTGCTAAGTTGCTTAGAGCCTCATTAAATTGCTGAGCTGGCATTGAACTTGGGATCCTTCTGCCTCAGCCTCCCAAACTGCTGGGATTACAGGTGTGTACCACTGCACCTGGTTCCTCCAGATTATTTTAAACTGAGTATTCTAGAAATTCATTTTTCCTGCTTTTTGGGAGGTCTGGTCCCATGCTTAAAACATTTTTGCTTTTGCCAGGGTGTGATTTTCTTTCCCCTTAGAGAAATTGTGTCTACCTTTTGAAAATGCATGTTCATGCAAACAAGATTCATTAGCCTTCCAAGAAAGCAAGCTCTTCTTTTTCAACGCTCCATCATTTTCAGATCTGCCTCCTGGTACAGCGGCTACCCTTTCCCTGGTGAATGAGGCACAGTATCTGCTGATAAACACATCGAGTATTCTGGAACTTCAGCAGCAATTATGCACCAGGTAAGATCCCTTCCTTGGAACTAGCAAATCAGTTAACCAACTGTTCCTGGGAGTGAGGCCCAGCTCCTACCTGCAAAGGAAGGCTCTGAGGGTCAGTGAGTTCAGACTTCATTTATATATGAGCCTGCAAGGCTCAGAGAAGTTAGCAAGCCCCATTGACCAGTTCCATTAATCTGCCTGAGGGTTCTCTTTTCCGCACTTTATTAGTCAGCTTACTGATACTATAATAAGTACCTCAGATAAAAAGTTTTATTTTGGCTCAAAGTTTTAGATGTTCCAGGCCAGGTTGGCCCTGTTGCTTTGGGCCTGTTGTGGCACTTTATGGTTGGAGCAAAAGTGCTGACCTTAGGATGGGCCAATGAAAAAAAGAGAAAGAGACCAGGGTCCCACAATCCCTTTCAAAGTTCCCTCCTGCTCTGCCAGTGACCCTTCTACTAGACATTACCCCTTAAAGTCTCTACCACCTTCCAATACTGCCATAGTGGGGACCAAACCTTGCCACATGGATCTTTGGGGAACACTTAAGATCCAGACTATAGTATAGCATCTTCCAATGCTCCTTCTTGACACCCTCAGGACCTTTTTCTTTTTTTTTTTTCTCTTACCAAGATTTTTTTTTTAATTGGTTGTTCAAAACATTACAAGGCTCTTGACATATCATATTTCAAACATTAGTTCAGGATCTTAGTGGAGAACCCTCAGCTCTCATTTCATTGTTCCATTTCTTTCTTTTTTTTTAATATATATTTTTTAGTTGTAGTTGGACACATACCTTTATTATTTTATTTTTATGGGGTGCTAAGGATCGAACCCAGGGCCTCGCATGTGCTAGGGGAGCGCTCTACCACTGAGCCACAATCCCAGCCCCTCGTTGATTCCATTTCTTAACTTTGGTTTTAATTGAGTTGCCATCAACTTGACCCAGTTTCATTGCCCACCTCCCATTGTCTCCTGTCCCCTAGGATCCCTGCCCTACTTCACGCAGGACTGGGAAGGAGTGGCTGTAAAGATTTTAAAATTTTGAGGACCGAGAAGGAGTGGCTGTAAAGCTTTTAAAATTGTAATTTCAGGGGGTTGGGGTTGTGGCTCAGTGGTAGAGCGCTTGCCTAGCACGTGTGAGGCACTGGGTTCGATCCTCAGCACCACATAAAATATAAATAAATAAAATGAAGGCATTATGTCCATCTACAACTCAAAACAATATTGAAAAACATTGTAATTTTAGGCGTGCTTTATTTGTCAGTTGCACCATCAGATAGGGCTAGCACCCCTGCCTACTCATTCCCACCCAGGACTCTTCTGAGGGTCCTGACAGTGTTAGGAGGTCACCTCAGGTCTAGAAAGGGTCTTGGTTGGGCCATCTCTCACTATTCTTTAGAGGAAACTAAAATCCCAAGATAGCCAGGCTGTTAGGGAAAAACCCATTTTGCCAGAGCTGTGATGGGCACACTCCTCATTCCTCTCCACAGGCCAGGGAGACGTGTGCACACACCAGGAGGACTGGAGCTGGGCCTCCTGTGACGCTCATGTGCCACGTGGTCATGTGCATGCATGTGCACACTCAAAAACACGTACAACTTAATGAAAACAGCCAAGGGCCCTTCCAGGATCTCTTAAAAGATAGGTGTGTAGAAATTAAATACAACATGGCCTTTGCCATAGGCCAGCTTGTCCTCCTTCTGAACAGAATTGTGACAAAGTTTCAGGGTCTTGTGTGTTCACTGAGTTTTCTTGGCCCGAGGGACCCTTCTTCACAAGCACTCCAGTCAGGAGAGAGTGGGTTTGCTGTGGTGTGGGATTCTTGGTGTGCAAAACTAGGAGGTGGGGATAGACTTGCTGCAACTCTGGTTTCTACCAGGAGGAGGCGACATTTCCCATCATCTGATTTAGAGCAAGGCTGATGAATGGCACAGGCAGTCAAAGGTGGGCCCTGAAAGTGTTAGGAGATCACCTCAGCAGTACTGAACCCATGACTAGTACAAAGTGAGGGTTTCTGGGGCCCCTGCATGGTATTTTTCTGTGCTGAATCTGAAAATTCAGTGGATTTTCTCATGCACAGTGGCTTTCAGACTTATAACTTCCTCTTTTACAAAACACAAAGAAAGTGTGTACATCCCAGAATGCAAATTCAGAATCAAAGGACTTTAGAACTGCAAAGTGCTAACCCTCTCATTCGGCTGAGGAAGCTGCTGTTCTCAGGGTGTGGGAGCTGCACATGGCTTACGGTGAATCTAAACTGGTCCCTGGCTTTTCACATGCCCTTCACCATCCAGAAGGAATTGGTATAACCTTGACAGCCCTTCTCCCCCGATCCTGTAGCTTTTCAGTTCTGTTTCCAGGGCAAATTCCACCATGTTCAAGGACCCCTGCCTGTGACTTAAAAAAAAAAAAAAAAAGAAGTACACAGAGTGCAAAAATCAAAAATACAGAGCTCAATGGATTTTTACAAATGGCTGCATGCATATAATCCATGCCCAGATCAAATAGAGGACATACCCTAGAAACTTCCCTTTTGCTCCTCTTAGTCAACCCCACTGAAGGTCACCTCTTTTTTAAAACTTTTTTACTCTAGATAGTTTTACTTGCTTTTAGACCTAATGTAATGGGATCATACAGATATGTTCTTTTGCTGGGGAGATGTTAAGACTTATTTTCAGTGTATTTCTCTGCGTGGGGGTGAGGGATGCATAGAGGTTCAGAGAACCATTTTGTGGTAATAAACAAAAATTCAAAATAAGAATTAAAAAAATAGCAAAAGCTGGTTAAAATTGCAGATTGGGTGAAAGTTAAGAAACTCCCTCTATGTTTCTTTATGATGTTTTAATATCCAAAACAGTGTGTGGTCTTGGTGCTTTTGTCAATCCCATTGCCAGCTGTTTGAATATCTTGTCCCACTTTGTAGAATTGGTATTTTCTTAACCAGTTTATTAATTGGAACTTTGTTCATCTGATTTCCAAAGTCCTTCATCTCTTCAACTAGGTCTGCCTTTGTGGGCTGCTCCCTGGAGGCAAAACCATATCTCAAAGGGGCTGCTGATGTGTCCTTAGCACATGAGTGTCTCTTGGCCTTATTCTCTTAGGCTGGAGTAGAGTTGATAAAGTCAGGCATTGGGTGGCAGGCATGCTGAATTTTTACAACAGTGCAATCATCTGCCACCCTCCCTCCACTCACTCTTTTTGGTATGTCTAAAACAGTGATGAGAATGGAAAGGAGGAATTATTCCCGATGAAAGATCTCATCTCGCGTTTCCGTGCCAATATCATTACCAATGGAACAAGGGCTTTTGAAGAAGAGAAATGGGGTGAGATCTCGATTGGTCCCTTGCGTTTCCAGGTAAGTTCCAGGAAGTTCTAACATCTTTCCTCAAGGGTTGCCAGTGGCAATTGACCTCAACCCCATACCTGGGTGGTGACAGGTGGAAATCCTTGTTTCTTACTCAAAGAATCTCAGCAGAAGGACCTCAGCATTTTGGGATGCCTCTTAGAATGGTCTAACCTTTACTTCTTACGAGTGTAGCAGTGGTTAGTTTCAGATAAGGAACAGAGAATGTGCCCCATCTAGACCATCAGAGGGCTTGGTGCTGCCTCTACATCATCATCACATCTAGGCTTAAACTTTGTTTTCTTAGAATGTTTGTCTGTAAGAACTCATGCTCCTGAAACTTGGGTTTCGGCCGTCTGGAGCACGTGGAGGGGGACCCAGAAACCTAGTGATCCCTCAATGACCATGTTCACTCCATCTCCTCCATGTGCTCTGACTCTGCCCTCTCTGGCATCTGGGGAGGAGATTGCATGCAGAGGGAAAGCCACTGATGCTATCTCTCCCCAGGCTCTGAGCTCCTCAAACCTTTGGGTTTCAAAAACTTGAGAAAGAGAAGAAAAGTCTTAGGTTAAAATCTGTACTCCACAGGCTAATAAGGCCCTATGAAATCTGACTCGGCTGTCCTCTGAGCCCATCACCCCTTCTTCTCTGTGTCTTTGATATTAAACCTCTTCCTCCATCCCCTAAACAAACCAACCCACCTGCCTCTGCACTGTGTCTTTGCTGTCCCTTCTGCCTGGCATGTGGATCCATAGTCCCAGGTCAGAGAGTACCTCTTTGGAAAGAATCGCCCTGATCCACATACTCTGCACAGTATCTGCTCATCTCATCCTTCCAGAGCATATGAAGGTGGGGACCAAGACTGTTTTGATTCCTGCTGTACCTCTTAGGCCTAGAACGGCCCTGGCCCGATTAGCACCCAAGACGTAATTGTTGATGGAATGGACAAGATAAGAAATAACTAGGGACAGAAGGATATTGCATCTGCAGAGAATGCGCTCTGCTCTACAGAGGGGAAGGAAATTGTTTTAATAGTAGTAGTGTATTAGCCAGTGGCATCAACTGTCTTGAATATGGCTCCCTTGCATCCAGGCTCTGCATTGAAAGGGACCATCACCTGTCCATCCAGAAAAGCACTAAATGTTTAGTCTTCATTAAAGAATTTCAGATCTGGGGCAGGGGAGAGGGTAAATTACATGATATAACAAAAGGTCCCAGGGATCTTGTTTATTCACTTAACTCTCAATCTTCCTCTTGTCTTGGCAGCTGTCCCTTCACCATTTATAAAGCTATCTTTTTTCTTTCTCAAATTCTGTCCTACAGACCTGTCTCTGGCGCTGGCCCTCCTGCCATTTCTCCTTGTCCCTCCATCCTGACCTCCTCTTCTCTTCCCTGTTTCCCATCATGGGGTCTCTGCAGTTTTAAAGATGCCTGCTCTTGAGTACCCTGCCTGGCACAAAGTAGGCACTAAATATTTCTTATTGGCTCTATGGAGAGAGGGAGGGAGGATGAAAGGAAGAAAAGAAAGAAGAAGAAGAAGAGAGAAAACTAAACGAGTGGAGCACTATCAGGAACTCACCTGGAACAGGTACCTGAGACATAAATACAAGGAAAACTCATTAGTCAAGGAACCTTTCTGAGATGACCTCTCATCATGCTTTGTTGTCTGTAGGTTGCTGTACTGAATAAACAGCAACTAATAAGGCTAAGATTTGCCTGCCCTTTGGCTCAATGATGTTACTGGTAGAAATTATTAAAAAAATACTCATACAAGTGTG